AAACCGATAATTATAATGTAATATGTAAATTTGCATTATTACCGGTATAAATAAATCGGTTTAGTTAGAAAATAGGTCAATATAAACGTTATCTATTACATTATATAAGCGCCACCTAATATGTTATTGTACTTGATAATATTTCTGGTTAAATGCCTATTTTATTATATAAACGCTACCTATTACATTATATAAGCACTACCTAATATGTTATTGTACTTGATAATATTTCCGTGTTAAATGATATAACATAACCGGTCTAAATTTTAATCGGTCACTTATTTAACCAAACACACCATTTTTTAGCCCTTTTTTAACCACCACACAACAGAACTTCTCATTTATCATTACCTTATTCGTCCAAATAAAATTATTAAAAAATAATGTGCACATCGATAAGGAGAGACAAAATAACGTGGAAAATGAAAGAAAATGTTTTTTTTAAATAATTCACATCAACATCGCACCATAGGCATGTAAACGAATAGAAAATTCATTGAACCATTTGTGAATCGTTCGGTGGAAAGTTTATTTATATTCGTTAATTTATTAAATGAATAAATATGAATAAGATTTTATTTTGTTTAATTAAATAAACAAATATGAACAAAAGGCTCATCGTTCATTTGCGATTGTGAACGTTTGATAATATGTCCGTTTATGTTCTTCCATTTATGTTTGTTTATATTCTCCAAACACGTTTGAAATATTAAGACTTAATAAATTTTAACCTTAAATATTTTTAAACTCAATTAATTTTAAACTCAAATAAAAATAATCAAATCAATTAAAGAAAATATAAATCTTAAAATTATTTGAAAAGAAAAAAAAACTCTTCTCAAGTATAAACCCAAATAATTTTATGTTCGTTTACATTCGTTCATCTGTGTTTGTTTATCATTTAAATGAATGAACATGAACAAACTAAATTTCTTAATGAACGAACATGAACAAGAAATTTCGTTCGTGTAGTTGTTTGTGTTTGTTTGTTTGTTTAATTAAAGTTAAATGAACGAACATAAATATATACTCATTCTTTTTCGTTCATTCGTGTTCATTCAGTTCGTTTACAGGCCTACGCCTTAATGATCAAAATAGTAAAAATATAGAATTAGTGAAAACTTTGTTAAAAATAACAATTCGGTCAACAAAGTACAAAGGAAATAATAGTTTGGTGATTAACTACGTAATTTATCCAAATTTTATTGGAGAATTTCAACTTTTTCTTTTACTCAATGCTGACCGTTTGGGCTGAAACAATGTGAATCGGTTAGGTAAAAAAAAGTTAAAATGATTTTTTTATTATTTAAACTTTATTTAATTGTTTGGTGATTAATCATGCAATTTATCTAAATTTTAATTCGAACAAAAGATACATACTAATAAATTTAACTACATCAATAAAAGAATTATAAAAGGGGTCAAGTTATCAAAAAACCACTTTCAAATTATAAATCAGAATCAAGTGAAACGAGAAAAATATTCACGAACACAAATAATGTATCCAAATAGAATTCGAGAGTCTAAAGTAGGAAAGATCTACATAATAATAAATAAACAACATTTTTATCAATCATGTTGATGTGAAATCCAACCTAAAAAAAGATAACAAAAATGTAACCAAAAATAGAAAAAAAATGTATAAAAACGGAGAAAATCGTATTATAAATATAGAATTATTAAAAGTTAAAAAATTAAGTTATAATACAAAAGAAAAATGAAAAATACTAGCTAAAGATAAAGAAAAAATGTTAAGACATATTTAAAATTTATTAATTATATTCTTTTAGTACAAATTTATTTATTTATTTATATTTGTAAATATTTTTCTTTCTATATATTCAATATATGTTTTTAAAAGATATTAACAAATTTGAATACGTATAATCTGAATAAATTATAGTATTTATTTATACCGGTGCCATAAATGCCTTGGATTTTTCCCTTACGAAAGGTAAAATTACATAAAAGAGAGGAAAAAGGAGGGAGAAAGCAACGCCTTTTCTTTCTCTTCTTCCACAGTATTTATATGTGAATGCTCTTCATCAACTTTAATTCTTTTCTTCTTCTTCAATATGAATTTTATCACTTTCTTAAAGATCCAATTACCGGGAACCAAATTGACTTTAAAATAAAAGGCTTCAAAATTCATATATATATATATATATACAAACTCGAAATCAGCCATGAAAATCCCATCTGCGTTACAATGTTTTAACCTCTGAAAAACCATTTGCAGCATTGCAAATCAAAGCAATTCCGTCGTTTTCATTGACCCTTTTTGTTGTAGAGCAAGAAAAAGATGAAATCAAATCGTCACATGATCAGTTTCTCCTTGTTGTTATGGGCAACTTTGTTGGTGAGTGTGGTGGACTCAGATCTCGCTTCCGCCAGGGCAGCGATGGTGGCTCTTCGAGCAAATGTTCGCGGGCGCTTACTTTACTGGAATATTTCGAGCAATCCATGTAATTGGACTGGTGTCAATTGCTCTTCAAACCGAGTTGTTGAGTTAAGACTCCCTGGAATGGGACTTTTAGGTCAGTTTCCAGTTGATGTGGGCAATTAAACTCAGCTTCAAACTCTTTCTCTTCGGTTCAACGCCATTTCTGGATCAATCCCTCCCTATTTTTTCCAAGCTTACAGCCCTTCGAAACCTTTACTTACAAGGGAGTCGATTCTCTGGTGAGATTCCCGCTGTTTTGTTTACTTTGAAGAACCTGATAAGGCATAATCTTGCCAACAATAATTTCAGTGGTCCGATTCCCGACAGTGTTAGAAATTTGACTAGATTGGGTACTTTGTATTTGGAGAACAATAACTTATCTGGGTCAATTCCGGATATTAATTTGCCTTCACTTGTGAAATTCAATGTTTCTTTTAATCAGTTGAATGGTTCCATTCCAAGAGGCTTATCAAGTAATCCTCAAAGTGCTTTTCTGGGGAATTCTTTATGTGGGAGTCCTTTGGTCTCTTGTAATGGTACTGAAAGTAGTGGCGATAATTTGTCTGGTGGAGCAATTGCTGGTATTGTGATTGGTTGTTTGCTTGGTCTTTTATTGATTTTGATTCTATTGTTATGTTTATGTAGAAGAAAGAGTGGTGAAAAAATTGATGAAACTCGCGGAAGAGATGTTGCCCCTGCACAGCAGCCTGTGGTTGAAATTCCTGGAGATAATGCAGCAGGGGAGAGTGATAGTAGAAGTAGTGGGTTATCTGGGATAGCAAAGGAGGAGGCTAAGAGTAGTGGGGTTAAGAATCTGGTGTTTTTTGGGAAGCCGTTGAGGGTGTTCGATCTTGAGGATTTGTTGAGGGCATCTGCCGAGGTATTGGGGAAGGGAACATTCGGGACGAAGAACAAGGCCACCTTGGATATGGGGATGGTTGTTGCAGTGAAGAGGTTAAAGGATGTGACAGTATCGGAGAAGGAATTCAAGGAGAAGATGGATGTAGTTGGCGCCATGGAACACCAGAATTTGGTCCGGTTAAGGGATACTACTTTAGTGAAGATGAGAAACTTCTAGTTTATGATTACATGCCTATGGGAAGCTTGTCTTCACTTTTACACGGTGAGTATTTCTTTTGCATTGTGTTTCTTGCTTCTTTGATAGTGTTATCATTGCTGTTCTTCGTTGTGCTTGCCGGAAATTGAATCTTAGCATGAATGTATTTAGCAATCCTGCTCATTTGTAAGTATCAATTCGTGTCGGGTCCAACATTCCCTTTTGGAATTTCCATTACCTACATCTTATAGACGAATTTTCACTGTCATTAGCATTGATCATAACATAAGTGGTACAATATACTTCTATGGGATTCATTGATTTCCTTTATGTCTCGCTGCGTTTTCTGAATTAGGCATTGAGTTCTTTAGGATTGGATAGTCATAAGTTTGGCATATTATTATTCAGGTAACAGAGAAGCCGGTAGGACTCCGTTGAATTGGGATACAAGGTCCGGCATTGCCCTCGAGCTGCCAGAGGCATTGCATACCTCCATTCCAAGGGCCCCGAAATCTCCCATGGAAACGTCAAATCGTCAAATATCCTACTTACGACATCGTACGAAGCTCGAGTATCTGATTTTGGTCTTGCTCAACTTGCTGGCCCTATATCGACTCCCATACGTGTTGACGGCTATCGTGCTCCGGAAGAGACGGATGCTTGTAAAGTCTCCTAAAAGGCTGATGTCTAAAGCTTCGGTATATTGCTTTTGGAATTGCTTACCGGAAAGGCACCAACAGATGCTTTATTGAATGAGGAAGGCATAGACCTTCCAAGATGGGTCCAGTCAATAGTCGAGAGGACTGGACTGCCGAGGTGTTCTATCTCGAACTTCTGAGATAACAGACTGTTGAGGAGGATATGATCCAGCTCCTACAGCTTGCCATTAATTGCACTGTCCAATACCCTGCCAATCGTCCTTCAATGGCCGAGGTGACAAACCAAATCGATGAGCTTTGTCGGTCTAACCCGAAGAAAGAGACTCATTAAACCCGCGATGCGTATGATTGATCTTCCCAGCAGGCTTCCTCATCTCAGACATGTGCTCCGCCATATTTCAGTAAAGGACTGAAAACAACAACAGCAATCTTTTATTTATTTGGCCCGTTTTCATTACGCATAGAAACAGTTGTTATATTTTGTGTGTTCTTGGGTTCATTGTCTTTAAGAACAGTTGCATTTTTAATTCAATATGCATGGTTTGAATATCCGAAGAAGGATTCGGTTTAGGTATAACTAGAGAACATGACGGATACAAGATTTTATATTAAATTATGAATATAGGAAGTTATATTAGAAGCTTAAAGGTTTAAAATTATAAAATTAAAGAGACGATTGCACCTTCTGTCTATTTCTGTTTGAGAATATATTCAACAAGAATTTGAGATTGATCAACTAAGTTATTATAAAATTTAAAATTTTTTTTGGTACAAAAGATAAGAGGAGAAACGACACCGTTCCATTACACCCTTAGGGTTTCTTGGCCTTTCTTATTCGACTCTAATAGCTGAGAATGCTTTCAGGTGGCTCGTTGAATTCCTTTTCTCCCTCTTCTTCGCCGAGCACCATTTTAGCTACAGATATGTTTCTCTCTCTTAGTATATGTATGATTTCCTTCACTTCAAGCTCCTTTAGTAAGTTTTTGCACTCCTTAATCATGGATCTGATGCGCGGATCATCTGCTTCATTCTCTTGAAGGATTTCAATCACTTTTCGAGAGTCTATTTCAACCTTCAACTGTCTCAGGTCCAGTGATTTCGCGTCTGTAAGCCCTTTCTTCAGACCCCATAGCTCTGCTAGCACATGATTTGAATTTCCTATGTAGATTGTGCATCATTTAACCAACTCTCCTCTACTGTTTCTTATCGGGCCTCCGGCTCCTACGAGTTTCAAGTATCGTAATGTTAGATTTCATTAACATTCCGGTTAAATAAAGTTTAGAGAAAATAACCTCAGTGACCAAAAATCTCATATAATATACGATTTTAATCAATTTTTTTTGGATTTGTCAAAATGACCAACAAAATCGCAATGCGATCGTTAATTCGCAACGCGATCTCTATTATCGCAAATTCGTGTTACATTTCGCGTTGCGATAGTTGAAAATCGCGTTGCGATGGTCTACAGTATCGTTGCGATTTTCCCAATTCGCAATGCGAATAAGTAAATCGCAACGCGAATTAGGAAAATCGCAATGCGATACTGACTATCGCAATGCGATACTGACTATCGCAATGTGATACTTACTATCGCAATGCAACGCAATACTGACTTTCGCAACGAGATTCTGACTTTCGCAACGCGATTTACATAGCGTCATTCGTATTAACGCGTATTTTTTTTTCAAATTCCAAACACGAATTTTTCCTTAATAAATCGAAAACTGAACCGTCCACAGTAATCGCAACTCATAACCTCAAACCCAAAATCACAACACTCAGTCTCATCTCCATCTCTCACTCTCTACGGCGAAATCCGTCCCCATCTCCGAAGATTTCCGTCCCCATCGCCGGCGAAATCCCTCACAACCATTCACAGTCAAAAATCCCTCACAATCATTCAGAAATGGAAAATCAACCTCCGAGGGTTAGTTTTGTTTTATTTTTATTTTGAAAATTTTGCATTATTTTAGGTTTTTCATATTGAGATTGATGATAAGTTTACTGGTAATTTCAATAATAGATTAACCATTTCACTTAGATTTCTTATTAAATTCATTCGATTGCTGCCAATACTGCTAAACTGTTTAGCCTGTGAAGTTAGTATTTGTCTTTGTTTTGTCTTTTGGTTGAAGTAATGCAGAAGAAGAATAGTTTCGAGAATGAAAATCGCAACGCAGAAATAACTATCCCAACGCGAAACCAAAATCGCATTGCGATTTTCATTTCGCGTTGCGATTTTCATTTCGCGTTGCGATTCTCTCGTTGCGATAGTCATTTCGCGTTGCGATTCTCTCGTTGCGATAGTCATTTCCGCGTTGTGATTCTCATTATCCCGTTGCGATTTTCATTTCAACCAAAAGACAAAACAGTGTTACAAATTTTAGTTTCAAGAATAAACTACTATTTATGTTTATTATTTTTGGTATATCTTGACAGTGTAGTTTTTGGTATATCTAACTTGGTATGTTTATTGTTTTTGTAGAAATTTTTTTCGGCTTCATTGACATTAAGGAATAAAGTTAGCCTAGCCACTACAATTGCTTCGAAGCTTTCACCTGCACAAAGAAAATTGTTTGAGGAAACCTGCTTCGGGCCATGACTGAGAGTACAGCATCCGGGTGGAGATGCTAATTTGACCCATTTGTGGCTTCAGACATGACTAGCGATCTACCCGACAGTATACAACGTGGTGAGGAAGAGATATGGTTTCATTTTCCACCGGCGTATACTTGTTTTGGGCGGAAGGAGTTCTGCTTAATCACTGGTCTACGATTCGGACACGTTGATGTAGGCCGGTACACTCGTCATATCACCCGCCCATCATGGTTATCCAGGGTTTTTCCTAATGAGTTAATAGAGAAGCCGAACTTACACGTCGACGACATGAAGAAATTGTTTAATAAGAAAGATGATTTTACTCGGATGAATGACGTCGATGTTGTCCGAGTATGCCTTCTACTACTTTTGTATGCCGGCTTTTTAGCAGAGAGGCCAGACAACCTATTCCTCAGAGCTAATATTATTGGTAGAGGACCTAAATGCATGGAATCTGTTTCCGTGGGGTTCGTATATATGGAAAGCTACCTGGACTAAGTTGTCGTCTGCCTTTGATGACCGTAAAAGTTTGCGGGGCGATGGGTCGAAATACACTTTGTCATGCTTTGTTTGGGCCTTTAAGGTAAGAATTTCTATATAATATTTTCAAAATTATAATTAATTATTTAACAATTACTAATGTTTGTTATTATATTGTTTGTAGATTTGGATATTCGAGGCCTTTCCCCCCATGAAGACATATGCAATAAAAACTTCAAATGATATTCCCAGGGCTATTTCCTGGAAGAGGAAACGTCTGTTGGATTGGGAAGACTTAATACCATATGCGACAATAAATAATGTAAATTAACACAAATACTATCATATATAAACAAGTTATTAATAGTAGACGTTTAACTTTGTTTGAGTTTTTATATTTTTAGGAGGCCAACATTCCATTAATGAGACTGACACCCACGGAGGCTGAGCTTGCCACTGATTGGTGGCAAGCTAGTCAGCGTTTTCTTGATGGCACGAATGATGAGCAGCCTCCACTTCCTCCATTTCGAGAGCCATCACCTCACCCAGAGCCATCACCTGATTGACTCGACTATACACCTCTACAACGAGAGCCATCACCTATCCCGTCACATCATCGAGCCTCTTCTCCACCATCACCTCATGATAGGCAACCGGCAAAGATGCCACGACTTCTATCTCCCTGTTCTCTACCTCCACGGGATGAGTCAAGGGAGTTACGTGATGAGGTCAATGCCTTGCGTGAGGAGATCGGTACTCTACGCGATAACGATGGTGCATGGCGTGTGGAGGTGTCTACTTTACGTGGTGAGGTTGCCGCTCTACGTGAGATGGTAGTATCGTTGCAGAATAAGGTTCATACTCTACGCAACGAGGTAAGTTTAAGATTTTTCATATTTAACTTGATGATAAATTTACTCGTAATTTCACTTAAATTAACCATTTCACTTAGATTGCTTAGTAAATTTATTCGGTTGCTGCCAATACTGCTAAACTATTTATTAACACTGTGAAGTTAGTATTTGTCTTTTTGTTTTGTCTTTTGGTTGAAGTAAATTTATTCGGTTGCTGCCAATTCTGCTAAACTGTGTATTCTTTAACACTGTGAAGTTAGTATTTGTCTTTGTTTTGTCTTTTGGTTGAAAGTTTGAAATATATTTGTCTTTGTTTTCACTGTTTAAATATCATGTCTGTTTATTTACTGATATTTGTATTTAATTATTTAGCGGACCGATAAGGTGGATGCTTTACGTCGGGTTTTTCTTGCACGACAGAGTTCACGCATCAGACGGCGTGCATATGCTATTAAGTCTCCGTATACCCCAATAGTGCGAAGACACCGCAAGAAGAAGCCTGACTCGCCTGTCATCCCTCAAGAGTCCACTCCTATCATTGAAGAGGCCCCTATCATTCCTCGAGAGTCCCCTCCCATCGTTCAAGAGGCCACTGTCATCGTTGAAGAGGTCCCTCCCACCATTCAAGAGCCCGATTCACATGGCGTCACATGTAGGATTCTTGAGAAACCCTCTGACGTGCCAGACATGATGGATTCAAGTTGGCTCTCGTATGAGTTACCGGCCAGTACCATACCGGTATCTGAAGTGGAGAGGAAACAACTATCGGACACAATTCTGGATAACACCCTTTGGGCTAAGACCGTAGTTGATTTTTATCTACATGAGCGAAGCCAGGGGTGTTTCACTGACATATGCAAGCTCAACGATGATATCTATTTGTTGCTTGATCGATCTTGGTGGGGCGTATTATTAGGGGTCGAAGACAATGGCTATTTCGATGGAGGGGTAAGTCTTATATTTTTCTTATATTTTAATTTGATTATTTTTTGTAAATTTATGTAAGTTACTAATATATGTCTTTTTTTGTAAAACAGCATATCGATGCGTGGGTGTCACGTCTTCTAATAATTAGGAAACTTAAGGAAAATAAAAGAAATACACGATATACAATTATGCCGACGTCTTTTAACGCCGTTCACTTGAAGAATCAACGAGATGAATCATTTGCGTTGGGCAATGGACAAGCTAAACTTTATCCTGCATGGTGGGAGGTCGATAAGGTTAGTGTTTATTTTAGATTGAGTTTAAAGGTATTCATAAATAAGTGCGCAAATGAATGAATTATTACTCATGATTGCAGGTGTTTATCCCTGTTTTGGAACGTAACCATTGGCTTCTCGTCGAGCTTCAGATCCCATCCCTTAAGGCAATAGTATATGACAGTATGATAAATTACATATCATTGGCTGATTTAAGAGATATTATTAAGGGATGGAGCTCTTATTTGGCTAAATTCTTGGATGCGATAAATTATTGGACTCGTTCTGGAAACAAGAAGCCAAAGAAGCTCAATATTACAGTTAGCGGAGACGAGACCGCACCACAACAAACGAAAGGACCCAGAGGGGATTGTGGTCCTCTCGTATGCTTGGCGTTGGACCGTTTGATCACAGGAAGTATAAAGTATCTACCTCCCACCGATATAGATAGAGTTGCAGTAGGCTTGTGGTTTCGACATTATATGGCTAGATCGATATATACGAGACGCTGCCTACCTGCATTCGCGTTATAAAAATGTCCATAAACAATTGGTATGTTTATAGGCTTGTGGTTTGAAAATGTTTGGTTAAGTACCTAGAATTCAATAATTTGCTGTTTGTAGGTTTTAGATGTGTAGAAAGTGTTGTTTGAGCAAATGTTTGGTTTATGCAGGTTAATCTCAGAAGTGAGCTGCGTGAAAATGATGTATGGCTGCAAAAGTTGATTCAATAGTAGAAGTGTTATTTTCTCTAAGAATTATTGCTTATTTTTTGATTGTTTAATTGATTTGTAAAAGGTGATTTGTAAAAGTTGATTTGTTTAATTGATGTTAACATAATTCTTATTTGTGCTTGTTTAATTGATTGAAATGTAATGATTGATTTTGTTGATTTCAATCTGCATTATGTTGAAGGCAAAATGTACTATCGCAATGCGAAATGAAAATCGCAACGAGAGAATCGCAACGCGAAATTAAATTCGCGTTGCAATTTTCATTTCGCATTGCGAAATTAGCGTTGCGAT